TCACTACATTTTCGTTTAAATTTTCACCAAATAAATGAAAAGATTAAAAAAATTGCTCATTATTTCAAGTACACGAGGTTTTTGAAGGGGTTTAAGAATCATTTTATGACTTGTTCTTTGATTATTAAAAAAGAAAATTTTAGATTTGAATATGTACACAAAATTTACTCAATCCAGTCGTTAATAGGACCCACGGTTTTGTGAGAATTTTAATTCTTTTAGTTTTTTTAGTTCTTTTAGTCCTTTTAGTTCTTTTAGCTCTTTTAGTTCACGAGTTTTCATAATCCCAAGGGATTTTTTTAATTGCAAAAACCATACGCAAAAATGTGATTCAAACGAGGAATCAAAATTTCGAAAGGTGGAATCGGTTGGTTTGGATGAATTTGCAAAATAATATTGCTTAATTATTGATTAGCGTTAAAGATTAGCGCTTAAGTTATTAGTTTAGAACTTGGGAGATAGAAAAATCGAGAAATTTGTACATTTTGTTAGCAGAATGCTTGGCTTTTCTTGGAAATCCGGGTCTTTTCATTGTGAAAAGCTATCATTCTCAAAACCCAAAGCCAGTTCGAGTCTATTGAAACTTTTGATTGGTTGAATTGATTGAATTTCTATTGGTTGAAATACCGAGTCGTTCTTTGTGTACGCTAATCGCTCGCGACCTGGCGAACTTCCCGGGTATAAAATGCTTTCCTTTTGCAATCCTTAAAGGAAAAGGAGTGAACCGGCTTCCGCTTTTGAAGCATCACTATGCCTAAATCTTTGAAATCAATCTCTGCCTTAAATTTGGCTGTATTTTGTTCCAAATTCTAGTGAAATCTAGTCAAAATCTTCCCTTTATCCCTGAATCGTTCTTTTTTCACAGACACTTTTTCCAATTAAACCTCTTTTTGCATTTATTTCTACTCCAAGAGTTCTTCTTTTATTCATCTGATGCTTGGTCGTTTGGTTCGACTAAACACTTGTCTTCGGAGGCTTCCAACATGTAACTAATTTCATTTTCTTTCATCATTCATTTTAGCCACTCTAACGTCCGTTCTACGCGGGGTTTGATAGCAAAAATACAGCCAAATTTAAGGCAAACATTGATTCCAAAGATTTAGGCATAGTAAAGCCCAAAAAGCGGAAGTCGGCTCACTCGCTCACCGCTTCTTTCTTTTTCTTCCGACTTCAAAGGGGATGCACTTTATATTAGAGGTTTATGCCAGATGGCAAGCAAGCGATTACGCGGTCGCACAAAGAACACTTCGCCAGTCACTTTACACAGTGATTTTTCTTTTGTTCTGTAAATGATTCCCAAATGAGATTTAATGTTAAAAACTTGTTGAGAGTTTACAGAGTCGTAGCACCTATTTGCGGAGTTTATTTTAACCCGCTGTCCAAGAAAGGTCTGAATTGGCTTTGAGTTTTGCATATGATAGCTTTTCACAATGAAATGGCCCGGATTCTTTTAAAAGGACCGGATTTCTGAGAAGAACCAAAGCTTTTTACTGAACAAGCTAGTTACAATGGAGTGACCATTGCCCAAGGCTGTTCCAAGGCAATTTTCCGGACCAGATCAGGTAAATCAGGGTCAGGTTAGAAGCTTGGTTCTCCTCTGGACGATAATGAAGTCCTCTCACTCTAGTATTACAAATGAGCAAACATCAAAAACACTGATCACTTTCACTTTCACCTGTGCAGCTGAAAAAGTGTATCTCTGGCGTTTCCGACGAGACGAGGAGATCGGATGGAAAGCATAAACTGTTGGAATCCTTATCGAATCAAACTCTTTCGGCTGATCCTTCTTTAAAAGGTTTTCGACAAGAAATGAACCCTGAAACAGCGAGTTACTTAGATAATTATGTCGAAACAGACTTATAATTATGCGTAAGCCACTAACCGAATGAACTCTTCCAACTACCATTGCAAATATTTCTTACAAGCAATTATTTCATTTAACTGCTTTAACTGCTTTAAGTTTGTTTCCTAAGTTTCAAAACCAATTCAAAGCCAAACCAATGGTTTCTATCTGCCAAATTCTTAACGATTTGTCGTCTTCTTTTATTTGTTTCTTTGTTAAAAGACACGAGAAATGAATGGCTAATATTGGGTTGTCCAGTTATGAATGCGCGTTTTTACTATTTTGTAAATTTCTCAAGATATCGAACAGATATATATGAGTGTTATATATAATTCGAAAGCTGAAGATCTCCTCTACATTTTGGAATAAAAAAGTTTTGAATTCATTCAACTTTTTGGGAAATCGACTGCACAGAGAGGTCGTTTTCGAAAAAACCCCTTCCAGCTTAGCTATTCCTCAAGTTTTATGGTGTAAAATAACCGCCCAGAAAAGAAAAGAAAAGTAAAGATGCTCTGAAATTGTTATATTGAAAAAAAAGTTGTATTGATATATCTATTGGCCAAACATCAAACGGTTAACTCAATTTGAGCGGAGCCAAAACTTGATCCAAAGGCATTCTTCCATTTTGTAGAGAAAAGGAACCAAATCTTTATAGAAAAGGAACCAAATTGTAGAGAAAAGGTCTTGATCCAAAGGTACCCTTCCACTTTTTGGCCACCTCTTCTTCTGTGCAGTCAATTTGCCCAAAAGCTGGACAAATTCAAAAGCTTTTTATATCAAAATGTAGAGGAGATCTTCAGCTTTCGAATAATACTCATATATATATATCTTTTTCTAGATTTCGGTATCTTGAGAAATTTACAAAATAGTAAAAAACGCGCATTCATAACTGGACAACCCAATAGTAAAACGTCAAATTCACAAGTGACTTTCTCAGGAAATTCCAGATTTTCGATCAAATTATTTGTTCACCAAAATTCCAGCGTGTTCCCCACTACAAAAGCCTCACCAAACTATGAATTATTGGCGAATTTTGCCAATTTCCTCAAAAAAACCCGACACTTTTCCTATTTTTGCGAAGTAAACAGGAAATTAGAGGCTAGAAATCTTTTTTTATCAGAAATTTAGAAATTTCTTTGAGTAAAAGTCAAAATGTGGCTTTGAAAAAAGGTTAATTTTTGGAGAAACAGAATTTTTGATTAATAAATGATGGCAGAAACTAATATGATAAGTTTAAATAAGTTCGAGAATAGATTTTGTATCTTTTTGACAAGAAAAAGTCGAGATTCATCGGTGATTTTGCTAAATCGGTAACCAAAATCAAGATCATAAGCCATGGCTGACCAGGCCAGAGTCTAGAAATTTAGTTCTCAAAGGTTTTTGGGCTCTAAATTATTGAATCTTCGATTTTTGGGCTTTAAACCATTGAATTCTAAACTCTTTTTTGCGATGAACACTAAGATTAGATAAAGATAATATTTGAAAATTGAAAACCTACCATTTTCTTGCTCTAAAATGTTGTCGCTTGTCAAAGCTTGTCAGCAAGAATCTTAGCGAAGTCAAATCGTAGCTCAATTCGACGAATTGATGATGAAAAGATCTCTTTGCACTCAAAAATATCCACCAAAGACATGTGGTCGTCTAATTAGCGATTTTCGGGCGAGTTCACAAGGGTGGCCTTTCCCCGTTCGCTTTCCCGTTCAAATGAACGGCTTTTGAAGTTTTTCCCAATTTCTCAGTGATTTCTTTTCATTTCAGAAGCCATTAGTGACTTGTTTAAAGTCTTCAACACCTTCAACAATATAAATTTATTGGCGATAAAATGGGAATCCTTCGTAAAACATGTAAAGTTTTGGCTATCAACTAAACAACCAGACTTAAAATAAGTTTTACAAATGTTGATTGTACCAAAATGAAGTACGGTTTGCACCATTGGAAACATCTAGATTTTCTCTATAAAATGGCTGTTGGCAATTTTCCCTTTCCTTGTAACTGGCTGAGCCGGTCAAATGATGTGCATCCTGTACCATTCGACGCAGAATTTCACGCTGATTCCGAATCTATTTCCCGTTTTTGCTGAATGTTATTCTGGCAGGAGTGATAAGCGCCTAAGGTTTTGTTAGGACTCTGAAAATATGGGCTTTTGGATCTTAGACGCCTTGATTTTAGGAGGCCGTGGTCGAGCAGTAGAGCGTCTGTTTTTAAGAACAAACGTCTCTGGGTCGCGTCCTCGTATCGGATTATTTTGGTGTTTTTTTAAGATGTCCTTGATCCAAGATGTCAAGATGTCAAGATGTTTCAAGATGAACTTGCGTCCTTTGTGTGCTCGGTCATGTACCAGCTTCCGAGATCACAGTTTAATCAATCAATCAATCAATCAATCAACCAAACAGTCAGTACCTCCTGGACACAATTTAGTGATCGAAAATATACCCGCTGGGAAAACACATTTGATTCAGCCAGTTGTCCTTTCTTTGTTAGTTTATAACCTACCGTAAATACTGTAATAGTACCCCACCCCCATAATGACGGTGCGGAGTGTTGGGTAGTCTAGCTTTGAACGAGCTTTTCTCGACACTGGTTTATACTACAATGCGCGCTTAGGTATCAAAAAATAGCTGAAATTCAGGGCTATTTTTTGATACCTAAGCGCGCATTGTAGCATAAACCAGTGTCGAGAAAAACACGTTTAAAGCTAGACTACACAACGCTCCGCAACGTCATTATGGGGGTGCGGTACTATTACAGTATTTACGGTAATAAAAAAGTCCTCTTGGGTAAATAGTTTCCTAAAAGATTGGCAATTTGAATTACCGTAATACCGTTAGATTTTGTTGATTGAATTTCATTAAATTCACAGTTTTATTCATAGAAAATCACTGAATGTTTCGAAAATCTGATGAAGGATTACGGTAGCTTGCTCACCTTTTAGAAAACACTTTCACTCCAGTTTTTTGACTAGTAAACCCCTTAAATGAATGATTTTCTAAATGAAAATGTCTATTTTGTTCTTTTTCCACTCGTTTTTTTTATGTAAAATTTTATTTTCTTTGAGCATTTCACTCAAAATTCTCTTTTTCACTTCTTCAGATAAAGAAGTGAATAAAACAAAATAAACGAAAGACAAAATTGAGCTTTTTATGAAATATTTCGATTAAAGTGGTCTCTTTAAAGTGTTTCTCGCCATTTCGATGATCTTTTGAATGTCATGTGGAGATTGAGGGGAATGACATTCGTCTAACATCAATGGGATCACGCGAGTACCCCGACGAACACTCTGAAAAAACACATTTTGATTGATTGCTGTTTCAAAGCCACAAAAAGCCTCAAAAATTGTTGATTATAAGTTCATTTGGTTTTTAAACTAGTAACTGATTAGTTAATGCTAATCATTTGAAAAATTCTTGTTATACAGGATGCGTCCTAATTATTGCAACAAGAGTTCAAAGATCGTTTGTGGTGTCAAGAATGTGATGTCATGGGCGTGTAAAGCCAATAACAATCAAAATTGGACCTTCATGCAAGATGGAGCTCCCGCTCACACGAAGAAGACGGTTCAGGACTGGTGTGTGGCCAACTTTCCCTCAGTGAGCACCAAGGATGAATGGCCTCCAAACTCACCGGATCTCAATGTGATGGACTTTTCCATTTGGGTAATCTTAGAGGCTAATGTCTGCTCTCGAAAACACACAAGTTTGGATTCTTTGAAGAAGTCTTTGACCAAAGGATGAAAGGCGACTCCTCAAGATGACATTCGGGTCGCAGTGGAGACATATCCGAACCGATTAAGGGCTGTTATCAAAACTGTTATCAAGTCATATCGAATGATCTCTTGTTTCCTTATTTGTTACTGTTAAATAAAGCTATTTCTGTTTAAAAATCTTTTTCCAGTGAAACTTCTTGGTGTGCAATGCCTTGAGTATCTTGTTGCAATAATTATGACGCACCCTGTAGTTCTACAATCTAGTCTATTTCTGCGAGCTTGAGCTTGATTTGACTGTTTCTGTTTCAAAAAAGCCACAATTAAGTTCAAAACACAAGGCAAGATCAGGGCAAAAGCCAAGGCAAGTTTGGTTTTAGATTCATTTACAAAATTTCTTCTAAATCAACCCTTAACCCGGACTACAGTACCGATAAAAATCCTATTCTCTCGAAAAATTGGTACTGTTTTAAAGGGTTGTAAATTTAGATGTAGACATCGTATTTATAAGTGCTATATAGCATCTAAAAGCTCTCATTGAGCTCTACAAGACCTACTATAACACTTTGAGAAATACAGTAGTTTAATCTAACTTTTAGCGGCTTAAATAAAAAAAAAAAATTTTTGTGATTTTCAGGGTAATTTTTGACTACCAGAAACCCTACAAATCGTTTTGAAACCATGTTTTTTGGAAAGAACGCAAGAAATGACCTAAAAAAATTGTCTTTGACACGTTATAACATAAAGAAAAGTGACTGTGGCAAGCTTTGAATGAAAGCTTATCAAGAGCTTATCAAGACTGATTATAGGCTTATCAAGAAGATCACAAATCAAGTTTAACTTTGAATTTCAAGCATGCAAATTTGAGCTTTTAAATTTTAAACCTACCGATTGCTGTGACGTGATCGATTCCTCTCTAGAAAATGACGGTCGATGCGACCGAGATGCAATTGATCCGGCTTCTGTTCTTGGCAATGAATCAGCGATTTCTTTCAGTCTCCTCGTCACATCTTCTAATTCCAAACCACTAAAGTTCCAAGATTTCAAGATTTCTCGATTTTTTACCGTTCAATTTGTGTCCTTGTCTCTTTTTCGACTTTGTGAACGGTTTCTTGATGAACTTTGACTATTCTCCCAAGCTCGTCTTCGAGATCGAAAATTTTAGAATCTTTTTCTTTCAACTTGTTCCTTTGTTGTTCCAATTTATCGCGGAGATCGAGGATTTCTTCTCGAAGAGTCTAAATTTCAATTAATCCAGAAAAAGTTCAAGTTCTTACTTTATTTTCTTCTGTCAACGATCTTGATAAAGCTTGAAGAGCATTAAACTCGCGTTGGATTCGCTCGCGACTCTCTCGATAATCCGATGATGAGTCTTCTTGATCTGATATCTAGATTCTCATCATTAAAATAGTTCAATTTACTTCGAAATTTAAGAAAATATTAGAAAATTCTTCTAAGCTAAACTGGTCAACTTGATAAGCTAAACTGGTCAACTTGGGTAAGCTAAACTGGTAAACTTTGTAAGCTAAGCTGGTAAACTTGGTAAGCTAAACTGTTGGCAACTCAATTGAAGTAATATTATACAGGCAGGTGCAGCAAAAATATGGAAACTCGGTTTTCGACTCGCACTCGATTCCCAATTATTCAATGCCTCGAATTTCATGTTTGTATGAAATTTCAAGTTAATTTCCGCAATCAATTCCAATTTCTAGTTTAGAAACACAGTGTTACGCTTTTTATAGTACTTTGAAGTTCATAGGTCTGTCAAAATGCCTTTTTGTCAATTTGTGGCATTTGTTAATTAATCAAAAGACGCTAAAGGATCAAAAAACCGTGTTAAAACTTTTAAATGAATCGAGAAACAAAGCGAGGTGCCAACATCATCATCATCATCATCAACCTCTCGGCAGAATCATTGTTTGACAGAATTTGTACATATTTTGAAGAATTTCCCGCTTCGTATTTACTCATTCTTGTTTTTTATTAAGAAATAGAATTATCTTGAGGATTTAAAATTAGAAGATTTCCAATAATTTCAAAATTTTGAGAGCCAATAGTTGAATTCCCTGAAAGTTGAGCAGAGCTGGATTCTCTCAAAGCTGAAAGCGGTATGGTCACTCCCAAATCATTCCTAGTTTGCTCTCTAGCAAAGTTAATGCATTTATTTTATAATATTTGTCTATAATTATCTAAGGAGGGAAAAAAACTAAGAATTGGTTGATTTGTGGGCAATTCTTGCGAGTCGTTGATCGAAAATGATGATTCTGCCGAAAATGATGATGTTGGCACCTTTGAAGCAATACTATAAAAAGCGTAACACTGTGTTTCTAAACGAAAAATTGAAATTGAGCGCAGAAACTAACTTGAAATTTCATCTAAATATCAAAATTAGGCAAATTGAATAATTGGGCGTTGAGTTAAAGTCGAAAAATCGAGCTTTGAGCATTGTGCGCCATTCTGTCTACCGAAATCGGTTGGCGACATTGAAATTTCGTTTTTGAGCCACAACAAAATTTATTCGTAAAAATAAACTAGAAACAATTAATCAACAATAGATTCCCCACAGCTACCGATAACATTTTTGCTATCTTTGACGTAAATTATGGATACTCTCTTGAAAGAATTGTGCTGGTTTTGATTGAAAGAAAGCAGAGACCCATTTTTTGATGTCGTCAATGTTCTGGAACTTGTGGCTTTCGAGTGAATGCCGAATACTTCGAAAGAAATGGTAGTCAGACGGGGCAATATCTGGGCTATAAGGCGGATAAACTAGAAGTTCCCAGCCCAATTGCTCAATCTTCTCTTGCGTAATTTTGGCAACGTGAGACAGGCCTTGTCTTGTAGCAATCGCGCCGTTGTCGGATCAATTCCTTTTGAGCGAAGAACCGCATCCACGCGATCTAATTGTTGAACGTAAAGATTTGCATCAACAGTCTGACCAGAAATTGACACTTCGAAACAGGCCTCGGGTAGTCCATCAAACCGACAGCATAACTTTTTTTTCCGTGAAAATCGGGTTTAAGTATTGGCTTTGGAATTTCACCCGGGTCGAACCATTATCTTTTCCTTGTAATATTGAAATTGAGCGCAGAAACTAACTTGAAATTTCATATAAATATCAAAATTAGGCAAATTGAATAATTGGGCGTCGAGTTAAAGTCGAAAAATCGAGTTTTGAGCATTGTGCGCCATTCTGTATACTGGTAGAAGATCAAAACTCGATGTTTTTATGATTTTGAGTACTGAGAATTTACCAAAATATGGACTTTTATCAAAAACTTTAATACAAAAATAAAAACTGTGGCCTAAATATCAACTCGCCTGTTTCTCGAGTTGTTGAATTTGTAGCTGAAGGCTTTTGTTTCTCTCGATCGACGCCTCTAGCTCAATTCGTAGACTCGATTCCGATGATTTAACCTAAAAAAAACTATTGAATAATAAAGTTAAGCTCACTCGCCTTATCATAATCATCTCTCTTCACGATATTTTTTGTGATTTCTTCAGCTTCTGAAAGAGCCGTTGTTACAGCGAGCTCAAGTTTCTGCATATCTGAGGAAAGATCCGCGTTCTTTCCAATCAATCGACTGTGTTCATCGGTTAACTAAAGGTAATTCTACAGAAGATTAAAAATTCAAATCTGTAGATTAAATTCTTTGAATTGCCTTGACCCAAGTCACAGATTTGGTTGGCTTTTTCTAGAGATTTGGTTGCTTTTCGGTACAAATTTGGGTCTTTTTCTCTACAAATTTGGCTCCTTTTCTCTACGAATCTTTCCTTTTCGGTACAATTTTGGTTCCCCTTCTGTAAAGATTTGGTTCCTTTTCTCTACAGCTCAAGATTCTCTTTTCTCTACAGCTCAAGATTCTCTTTTCTCTACAGCTCAAGATTCTCTTTTCTCCTTTTCTCTACAGAAAAATCAAAACTAATTTGATTCAAGAATTGAATTGTCAACTTATTCAACTACTGAAAAACATTGTAAAGCCCATTTTTTTTGTTTTCATGAACAATTCTTTAATTCAAACTTAAAGGGTAAACATTTATGAAGTGGAATCAATGAATCAGAAATGAAATCAACCTGTTCCACGAGATTCTTCTCTCTCTCCAGTCGCATCTCCAATTCTGACCCGTGCTTTTTACAATTCAACAACTCTTCCTAAAACATTAGTTCAATATTTTCTCTCATAAATCCAATTCTTACCGTCAATGTGCGCAATTCTGTTTTCAAATTCATCTCCTTTTCTTCTAATCTTGCTATTGTTGCTTCCAATCGTTTCATTTCTTCTTTATGATTTGTCTCTCGATCGCTCATGAACGTTTGTTCTTGGTGTTTCTCGGAGAGCTCAGTCTGGAATACAAATATATTGGGGAGAATGAGTCGGCGCCGAAAATGAAAGAAATTTCTAAAACTTATAGCAGACTTTGTCAAATGATATGCGTTTGATATCCGTAGAAGGGTAACTAATATCACTACAAAATAGTATAAAGAGCAAACAGCGCCTCAACCAACAAAGGATCATTTCACAAAATCGATAAACTGTCATCTAGAGTAAACGGTTGGAGGGATCTCCTGAAAATTTGGTAACTATGTAATTGAGTGTGCTCTTTCTTATATAAACACCAAAGGAGGTTTAGGAAGAAACTGTTCAGCAATGAGTCGGACTTTTGTCATTTTGATTAGCTGTGTTTGGGAATCCATAAAACCCAAAAAGAAAGCTTTTGGAATCTCTCAAAAGCCATTTTGTAAAGAAATAGTGGACCATTTTGATCAAACAAAACGTGTATTTAAAGAAGGTTTTATGGGTGCAAAAAGTTTCTTTAAATTTTACTCATTCTCCCCAACCCAATATTACGATTGCTCGAAAACTGAACTTTTGAAATAAAGAATGAGCCAAGTAGCCGAAGAACGACAGCTTGGAAAGTATAGTAAAGATGGCCGCAACATTTCCTTGAAAAGTTGCTGGCAAACGCCTGCCTTTCTACCAAAGTGCCGAGTATTATATAGAAAAATAAAGCCCTTAATCTTGGCAACATTTATCTACAAAGAACTTTCCGATTCAAATTATGCAACTCATTTTACAAGCTCTCGAATGAGCTCAAATCGGCTTCTCTCCGGCGATCTGCCATTTTTTCCACTTTTTGACACAATATTTTCATTTAGAAAGGGTTCCTTCAATCAAACTTGTGGTATTTTACTTTAAAAGTAATATTCAATAAAAATAAAACGCTAGGGAAGCTCTTCTTCAAGATACAGCAAGATCTTCTTGTCAAATGGATATTCGGAAAAGCTCAATTTTCTCTTTTTTTGCGGAGTTTCCAAATGAACCCAAAAATCAACTCCAATTTTGGCCGTGAAAGTTTGAAAAAAGAGTTTCCTCTTATTCTTATTGCTATTAAATGATATTAAATGGTATTTTCTCACGAAATAAACATCGAGAAAACTTTTTAATAATTCTTTATTAAGAAAAGTGTCAAACATGGCAGATCACCGACTTTCGCTCATTCGAGAGCTTGTAAAATGAGTTGTAAAATTCCAATCGAAAAGTTCTTTGTAGATAAATGGCGCCAAGATTAGAGGGCTTTATTTTTCTATATAATACTTGGCAATGGGTCAGGCGTTTGTCAGCAACTCTTCCATAATCCTGTACTACCTGCAATTTTCTAATCTCTCCTTCGCGCGCTCGCATTGAGGTGGTCGCCGCGTCTCGCTCGTTTTCTAATCTAAATTTCTAGAATTTGCACCTTTATTTGCGATCTTTTTCTAATTGAAATTTTGGATATTCAGATTTTGCAGTTAAATTCCGAATATCGACCGAATTCCGAACAAGTCTGTTGGCGCAAAAAAAGTCAGTTTAACTATTGGGTTGGTGAATTGAAAACTGCGGGACTTTGAACTAAAATTTCTTGAACATAAAACCATAAATTCATTCCAAATAATTTCCATTATTATTGACGACTTCTGCCCATTTTACAGGCAATTTGCGGATTCCTCTTTCGTAGTAGGGTTTTCGTTTTGAATCGAAAAACTTTTCGAGCCAATTTTTGACAGCTTCTTCCGAATCGAAGTGTTCTCCCGCAAGCTCATTACTCATGTTCCGGAATAAATAGTAATCAGAAGGGGCAAGGTCCGGACTGTATGGGGGATTTGCCAAAACTTCCCAACCAAGGCTGTTTATTTTAGAGCGAGTCAATTTTGCCACATGAAGGCGCGCGTTGTCGTGGAGGAGAACGATCTTTGACTTGAAGCGCCTATTCTTCTTTAGGGATTCATTCACCTTTTCCAACTGTTCACTGTATTTGATTGCATTAAGGGTCGTCTTGCTATCCAGCAACTCCCAGTACACCACTCCCTTCATATCCTAAAGTGCCCAAACTGTGACATATGACAATAGACAATCCGATTTTTGTTTGTGTGTGAGACCAGCGTGAGACGCAAAAATGGAGGACTGGAGATGTCGCAGTTTGGACTGGAGATGTCGCACTTTCTTCAAAAGAAACTCATTTTGGTGTCAATAGAAAAGTTGTAGAGAATCAAAAATTAGGCTTATAGCCAAATTTCCAAAAAGATACACTTAGTATTTTCGCTTAAAGTGCAAGTTTTGTGAAAATTCTCGCAAATTTGGCATTTCTTGAAAACCAGTTTTTGAATCGTTCTGAAAATTTGGATATAAGCTTGATTTTTGATTCTCTACAACTTTTCCATTGACACCAAAATGGGTTTCTTTTGAAGAAAGTGCTCAAACTGTCACATATGACAATAGCCCGTAGTTTTCAATTCACCAACCCAATATTTTTAAGATGTAGTGTCTTTGAAAAGAAATGTTTCTGCTACTTTTAATAATACCTTCAAGTGCAGAATATCTTTTGAATTTTAGCATTCAATTTTGCTCACTTTGCTATATGAGCCTCTTTCTCGGCCAGAATTGGTGTCAACTCGTCCAATCGTCGTTGCAATTCAAGCAACTCCTCCATCAACGCTCGTCGATCTCGAGAGTCATTGGCTGAATAGCATATTCTCAATTATTTTCAATTATAACTAATTCACCTGTCTTGTTATTCAATTTCTCCTCGTTTGCTTTCAATTTCTCTCTGAATTGAGCGATTTTCCGCTCTCGATCCTGCACCTCAGCATTCAAGAAGTCGAGCTCTCCTTCGAGCTCTTGGATCAACTAAAACAGTCAACATTTTGTAGTTGAATTTATTTAGAAATATGTTTAGAAATAGTTTTTAGTTTCTAGCTTGTTACAAGCTTTTCAAATGAGCTTTTACAAGCTTTTGAAACGACTTTTTACAAGCTTTTCAAACAAACTTCATCTTTCTCCTCTTGTTGATGTTTAGTCGATCCATTTTCGTTCATTAAATGTCGATGAACAGAGCTCTGCTAAAATTTTCGATTAGCAAGAAAGGCTAAAATTTCAGAGTGTCAAATTTAAATTGGTAAACAAATTTCGATTCATACTCTTGACGGCTTTTGAGAGCTCATCTTTGCCTCATCGCCTTTTCTTGGGATTGAAAAAGATCTCGGTTGAATTGTAGGCATCGATTGACGTCTAAGATGATCATAAAATGGTCAAAGATGAAGCAATTTATAACTCTGCTAAAAACTATTACATAATATGCCTTATCAATTCTAAGACTACTTGAAAAAGCGATTTTTCAGAGTCAGACGAATTTTGAAAGGCCTACCAGCTGGTCTGACTTTATTTTACCCATAAAAGCATCGGGTCAGCCTGAAGTAGTCTAAGAATGTATCATTTTTCGTCCAAGCATGTCTCCACCCCTTTTACGGTCCGTTTTCCGTTCGTAATTTATGTATTTTGATCAGATCTTAGCCGAATTTGTTTGAAAAACGTTGAATATTTACTTTCATTCGACTTGAAATCAAATTTTCTATCGAATGAAAGCAAATTCAACGTTTTTCAAACAAAGCTGGTCAAAGTTAAAGTGTGTTTCTCTTGAATCAAATTATTTAAATCATTTTTTCTAAAAGGTGCTCATTAGCAAAGTCATTTGCCAAAAGAGTGCGCTTTTCTTTTATGATTACTAAAAGTTTTACTTCTTTTTTTTCTATCCTTACCGGGATTTTATAGTTTTAAACAAGTATTTATATTTAAATACAAGTATTTATTTTTAGAAATAAGAAAGAAGGGAAGAAGATGGTCAAACAAAAGAGAAAAGGTCTTAAAAGACGAAAGTCCTAGAAGAAGTTATGAGTAATCTATTGGATTGTCCAGTTATGAATGCGCGCTTTTACTATTTTGTAAATTTCTCAAGATATCGAACAGATGTAGATGAGTGTTATATACCATTCGAGAGCTGAAGATCTCCTCTACATTTTGGAATAAAAAACTTCTTGAATTCATTCAACTTTTTGGGAAATCGACTGCACAAAGGGAGAGGTCCTTTTTCGAAAAAACCCATTCCAGCTTAGCTATTCCTCAAGTTTTATGGTGTAAAATAACCGCCCAGAAAAGAAAAGAAAAGTAAAGATGCTCTGAAATGGTTATATTGAAAAAAAAGTTGTATTGATATATCTATTGGCCAAACATCAAACGGTTAACTCAATTTGAGCGGAGCCAAAACTTGATCCAAAGGTACCCTTCCACTTTTTGGCCACCTCTTCTTCTGTGCAGTCAATTTGCCCAAAAGCTGGACAAATTCAAAAACTTTTTATATCAAAATGTAGAGGAGATCTTCAGCTTTCGAATAATAGTCATATATATCTTTTTCTTGATTTTCAGTATCTTGAGGAATTTACAAAATAGTAAAAAACGCGCATTCATAACTGGACAACCCAATAGTTTCAATAAAATTTCACCGCATTTTACCCCCAGTTCCTCATTTTCTATTTGTGCTATGCTTTTCGAAATTATCTAAAGATTAAGATCAAATCCTCTTTGAAAAGAGAGAAAAAAGTAATGGTTACACTTCGTTTTGACTTTCGGAAATTGAAAATAACTTTCTACTTATAAACTGCGAGATTACGGTAGTTTAGGTGCAATTAAAAATGGGATGCAAAACTCCAATCAAAGATCTTTTGGTACAGAAATGTAGGCAAGAAATCAGACTTCAATTCTCTATATAAAATTTAGGGTTTTTGAATTGATTTTTTGGCATGCAATCTTCTGAAAAGGTGTAGCCGTAATTCTGGCGAATCCTGTAGTCAAGCGGGCAAAATTCAATGATTGCCAATGGAAAACGGATCAAAAAAGGAGCATAGTTAACATGGCTGATCGACTTAATTGATTTCTTGTAATTCTAGACCAACGATCCTTGAGCGAACCTTTCGATTACCTTCTTCTTACTGTTATTCTTATCATTACCTTCCTCCAACTGAATTGATTTGATTGGTGAGATTCTCTCTTCGTTTCTCAATCGATCGCTTGATTTCATCAATTCGTGAGACACTAAATAACAGTCTTTTAAAGTTTAAATCTTGCTAAACCGCTCACCTAGCTTGTTTCACAGGCCCAACTCTTCCCGATCGCGGATTTGAAAGTGTCGGCCTTTGTTTTGAATCATTTTTCGATGGGTTCACTTTTGGAGATTTCCGTGTTTCATCCTCTTCATCACTTTCATGAATTGTTGACGGCCTTCTTTTAATATCCCATGATCGTGAAAGTTCCTTATCCTGCATTTCCTCAAACTTGTTGAAATCCTTTTCATTTAGCTCGGGAGAACTCGATCGATCTCGTCGATTTGTTGGATGATTTTTCTGAAAAGAGAACTTTTTCTATAGAGCTGAAAGTGGAAACTCAGAAACTTTAAGTTCAAAGTTATATTTCTGAAGATTTATTCATAAACTTTACATTCTCATCATCTCCTCTTTTCTCGTCATAATCGAAAGCAGTCGGACAATCACGCCGCATGAAATGATGAAGTGGAGGGTGAAATGACGGGAGACGACACCAAGAATTCCCACCATCAAGACTCACCTTTAATATTTAACATAAAGGAACAACGCTAGAAACCAAAAATCAACCTCGTTTTCATTTCGCAACAAAATCTGCTTTCCCCCATAGCGGGCACAGCGATTTTCATGGCTCTCTCCTCGATCTCGTCTGAATTTCTTTTTACAATTTGAACATTTTGGGTTGGGGAGAATGGCGGCGACTTTCAAGTCTTTCTGCAACATAAAAGGTTCATATCAATTAATCAATTGTTTGCCAACAGTGTCAACAATTGTTTGTTTGTCCCCAAAAGTTCTAATACTTTTTAATTCTTTGACTTGAAAAACAGAGAAATTGTTGACAATCTGAGAAAACAAAGAAAAAAACTAACGCTGGTTTCTAAAAATGCAGAGATTTTTCCCTCAATATGTCCATTTTCATATAAAGATTTGAACTTTCAACAACTTTTTGACTAGGACGAAGATTGTCAACGAAAAGTCAAAAGTTTAAGTCTACGAAAGTTCACTTAAACTTTGCAGAATGAGATTTTTTCGAAAAACTGTTGTTACCATTTGATAGATCTGAGTTTTTACTGGAAAAAAAGCCATAAACAAACTTTATATCTGAAAAACGAAAGATTTTCAAGCGATTCTACGAAGAACACTCAAATTTCAAAGCCACCTTTCAGCACAAAAAGGCAACTTTAAGCGTTCTCTTCAAAAAACTGTTTTGAGTTGCAACTTTTGTGTAAAAAAGTATAGTAAAGATCAAAATACCTGAATTTTTATAATCCGGCATTAGTTTTTCAAAAATAGCGCCTTTACCGAGTCAAATTGTCTGTTTACAAAAAGTATTGGGTGAATTGAAAACTGTGGGCTATGGTCATATGTGACAGTTTGAGCACTTTCTTCAAAAGAAACCCATTTTGGTGTCAATGGAAAAGTTGTAGAGAATCAAAAATCAAGCTTATATCCAAATTTTCAGAACGATTCAAAACCTCGTTTTCAAGAGATGCCAAATTTACCAATTTCACAAAACTTGCATTTTAAGCGAAACTACTAAGTGTATCTTTTTGGAAATTTGGCTATAAGCCTAATTTTTGATTCTCTACAACTTTTCCATTGACACCAAAATGGGTTTCTTTTGAAGAAAGTGCTCAAACTGGGACACCTCCAGTCCTCCATTTTTGAGTCTCACGCTTGTCTCACACACAAACCAAAATCCTACTACGAAAGAGGAATCCACAAATTGCCTGTAAAATGGGCAGAAGTCGTCAATAATAATGAGAATTTTTTGGAATGAGTTCATGGTTTTATGTTGAATAAATTTTAGTTCAAAGTCTCGCAGTTTTCAATTCACCAACCTAATACAATGGGATGCTGTTCTGGTAAGCTAAAATTCGCTCAGACTCTCGTAAACGCATTCTTTCTAATGTACTACTAGTAAGATGCCTTTCAAAACAGAAAACTTCCACTTCCAATTTCCATCTTGTAGAGAATTCGACCGGAAATCCGATACAGATAATCCATTTTTAGTTTCTACCCTTAAGGCCTAGATATTTAGCAAAAAAAATGCTATTTGAGGACAGTGAATCCTACTACGAAAGAGGAATCCGCAAATTGCCTGTAAAATGGGCAGAAGTCGTCAATAATAATGGAAATTATTTGGAATGAATTTATGGTCTTATGTTGAATAAATTTTATTGCAAAGTCTCGCAGTTTTCAATTCAACCTTTCAATTCAACTCAATAGAAGAACTTTTGAGACAGCCTGTAATCAAAAGGATCTATCATTGCTTTACAAAATGGCTTTTAAGAGCTTCTGAAAAGCTTTTGTTTTGTGGATTTTATGAGCTCCTAAACGAAACCAGTCAAAATTCGTTGTTTGACTCGTTCTTTACACATAAAATTAAACTTGATGGTAATGAGATCAATGAGATCAATGAGATCAAAACGTAACGGTAAGCACAAGGTCGAGAGTTCAATTCTCCATCGGTTTGAGATTCTTTTCCACTCATTTCTTTACTTATTAACTTGATGTCAAAATAGAAAAGTTAGAGCACATTTAATTACATAAGTACCCAAATTTTTGTAGTGATTTCGTCAGTCATTTTCTCTAAATGATGATTTAAAGATTTTCTGAATGATCCTTTATTGAATTGAAGCGCTTTTCTATTTGAAATATGATTTTGTAGAGAAATAAGTGAGCTTTAGAATGATAAAGATTACTCGATTGCAGAAGTTTCCTTAGTTATAGGAGATTAGTTTATAGAAGAAGAAGTTTATAGTTTTTTCTTTGAAAATCGGCATCATTTCATACTCCCCAACCAAATAGATAAATATTTCATTTTTAGAAAATCACATACAAGAATTGATTCTCGAATTCGAGTAGCTTGATCTGTTGCTCAAGGCTTTTCGCGTATTGCTCATCGAGGATTCGCTTCGCCAAATCTTTTGCCAAATTTGGTCTAAAGTAAAAATTGCCGATGTCGTTTAAAGCAATTGGTCGCAATTGGTCGTTTAAAACAAAAACTTTTAATTATATTTGTTACAGTCATTTGAATGATTCAAAAAGAGATTTTTAAAGATAAAAACTTTTAAATAAGTATTTTTCTTGCAATTACCGTTTGTCTTTCGTCTCTTGTTTTGTTGAAATCGGGTAAACGTGTTGTTTTGGTTTATTCTGTGCTGAGCCACAACCATGTCCGGTTACTTTAAGATTTGGAACAGAACCTGAAGAAAACCATGGTATCCAAACAGCCAAAAACATTGAATTACATGTTTTTGCGTTTTTTTTAATCCAAGACAGCAAAGGCAATGTATTTTTTTGCTTAGAACTTCTGAAAACTGACCTCTTGCTCCTTTTGTGTCGAAGCATTTGATGGGCATCGAATAATAGAAAACTGATGTTTGTTGAGAACGTAAATAAAAATTTGTTTCTTCAATCTATTTAGCGTATTAGCTTTTGCTAGTTAGGAGAAATGAGAGCGCTTGTTCCCGCTTAGACTGCAGGGAATTGCCTAGCAACGAGAGGAGAACGAAGAGAAGGACCAGCCGGTGAGGGTCAGTTCAGAAAAGGGGAAAGGGGAAAGGATTGGGATTGACGATAGTGACCTCTCTTCTTTGAATAATGACATTGATTCCATGTTCTGGAATACCTGGGAATCGGTTGTAAACTTGAGAAAATGGCGTAGAATAATCTGTCCCAATATTGATCTTGGTTCAGAACCGACTGCAGCACCAGATCTCCACGAATCAAGAACCGACTGCAGCACCAGATCTAGACCGACTGCAGTACCAGATCTAGACCGACTGCAGTACCAGATCAATGTTTGATTGATGTCAATCAAAAGAATTGTTCAGAAGTTCAGAATAAGAGGCTAACAAAGTAATTGAAGGATAATTTAGATAAAGATAGCCTGGAAATTGCAGAAATTGCAGGTATTCCTAGGAATTATCGTAGCTGCGTGTTTCCAGGAAATACTGTATGAGTCGGCATGTCATTAATGCGAAATTGTTGCGAAATTTCAATTTCACTGCTGAAGAAAATGCCTGTGAGGTAAAATTGAAATTCCTTTTGTAATATCCATGTTCCTTTCAGCTCGAATGTGACCACGAGGCCCCCGAAATTCCCAACGAGGAGAAAGGTTAAAAATTAATTGAAAAATAAAGCTGCTGTGCTTTGAGAAAGATTTGGAAAGGCAAGGTGTCAATCCAACGAGGAAAAAGGTTTAAAATATGATATAATGATTTAAAAATAAAGCTGCTGTTTCAGTTTTGAAGAGGTGTTCGTTGTGTTCGACTGAAATGTGAAGGTGATCTCATTTGGATCTCATTTGGATTAAAAAAAGACAAAAAAAATGGGGAGGGGTTTGTCTTTGACTTTTCAATTAGCGTGAAATTTAAAAGCTTTCTAAAACCAAAGCTTACGAAAGCTTTTAACGCATTCACGACGATACGGCCTGGGTTGCACTTGTACTATTTTTGGTGTCAAGTCAAGTTTTTAAGGATTTCATTATTAGAAAGTTCTCGGCAAATTTGTACTAGTTTTCAAGAGGACATGCAGGGCTATCGAATGACTATAATAGTTTAGTTTATCTTTGAATCTCCACCAAATTATCTGACTACGCGACTGTACGCCCAAAAAAACCTTCATCGTGAATGTGTTAAAGAAAATTGTTAAAGAAATTAGAGAAAAGAAAGAAAAGACAAAAGGAATCGCAGATGATTGGATGTTTTGAAGGCCAGAAAAACTCCTGATCAGGTTCGAACACCCCTGCTTTTTATGACCCCCTCTAGGATCATGTGCCAGACATCAAGCGATTATGGGGTCGCCCAAGGTACACAGAGAAAAGTGCAAAAATGACTTTTCATAACCTATTTGGATCATTTACACAATTTTTGGGGCAAATTTTTTTCATCCAATTAGCCAATCAGCTTTGGCATGAACTGGCGATGATAGATTGTCCAGTCCAGAGCTTTTTCGAATCTTGTTCTAGTTCATATCTATTTTTTTCTTATTCCTCACTATTCATATCACAGATCGTCAATTCTTTCTCTTCTCTTTCTTCTTTCTTCTTTCTCTTCTCTTTTTTCTCTTTTATTTCTCTTCTAATTGTCTCATTGTCCGAATTTCCAGTCATTTTAGTTGATCCCAACTTGTACCCGTCTTTTGTTCTATCAACTTTTCAATTCAATCGATTTTTGTCTGTTACAAATATTTGTTATCTACAATTATTGTTGTAGTATTGCTGTGCTTGCTGTGCTGTATATAATCTTATTGCTGTGCTGTAAATAATCTTTATTACAGCAATAATAGTTGGTTCAGTGGTTTGGGATTGGGAGAGTAGAGACGAGACGTAGAGACGACTCCACGGCACCTCAGCAGCTCGTTCACATTGCTTTTATACAGAACTTTGGCGTTGGTCTCGTCTTGCACACAATGGAGTTGAACGGATAGCGAAGCATATTAAATCTCGCACAAGAGGCGTTCGCCCACAAAGGTGTCTGGCTGACCATTTCCCTCCGTGGAGATCTCGATCACGAGATCGTCACGACAATTGCTATTTTCTTCATAACATTAAACTTTGATGATAAAATGATGAACAAAAAGAAGAGAAAATGAACGAATGAAGCTTATTGATAAAAAAGAAATGGTAAAGGATGAGTAGGTTCTGATTTACTTCAAGTTTCATTCAAGAGTACTTCAAGTTTCAGGGTTTTGGAGAATGGTGAGGGTTTTGGAATGTCAATCTCGAACAAAGTACTGTTAGTATCTTTACTTTAAGGAAAGAGCCTCGAACAAATTTGCATCGATGCGGGCGAATGCGGAGGGACAACCAGAGGGACAACAGCAGGTGAACTGATTATTCCCGCAAAGATTAGAGTGTGCTTCTAAAAAGTGGATAGAAATCCTTTCGATTTACTACCGTAATCCTTTCGATTTACTCAATTGTAATCACTTTCGATGAGGAATCGAACTGGCAAAGTGCGGAAACGCGTAAATTACTTCAAAATTTTGCAAAATTTCATTTAATTTAAGTTTTTTTCTATCGTAATTTCATATTTGATATTTCAATTTGAAATTTCAATTCCCAGATCGGTTATTGGTAATGCAAAGTGTTTCAAAGAGTGATCACAGCTGCCCATTCCATTCTTAAAAGCGGTATTTCAGGCATCCTATTAAAGGTTTAAATTTCAGAACAAGATTTTCCATTTTCAGAACAAGAACAAGAATGTTTTCATTTATTTTACTGGCTTTTGTTTTGCAGGTCAGTCCGCTTGAAGTAAGCCAGACTAAACTTGATAAACTTAGGCCGTTTACTCATGTTCGATGAAGCCATCAAATTTTGGTGCAGTGGTTGGACGTGAGTGGTTGCTTTATTGTAAATGTGGCTAGAGTTTGACTTTGACTAGATAATCTTCATCAATAAATGTGGCTAGAGTATTGCCATTTTTCTAATCATCCACTTAGCGTGCGGACCACCGAATCAAAGTCGATGTCCATACGGAACAACGTGTTTTTGTCAAGGATGTGCTAAAGTATTTTGCAAAAAAGGATCTTGAGAATTCAAGCATATTCAATGTCTTTTCAGGATCCTCCAGGCTCCGAGGTTCCTGCTAACACTCCATGTGTGGATCAAGATCCATAGTAAGTTGAAAATTTCACAAGGAAAACAATAAGATGTTGTAAAGAAATATTCTTTGTGCTTGGTAGATCAGATAGGTACTCTTCACTCTTCACACGTTATTTCTTGTTTCGAGATATCTGATCTCACTTGAACTAAAAACCACTTTATTCAATAGCCGACTGACTCGGAATCTTTGGGCTCTCACTTGAGCAACTTTTACACAAGATCGACAATTGAATTAAAAGTGACGATAAAAAACAGAAACAATTTCGTCCTAATTAGGACACAACTTTCACACAAATGAGACGAAAGCAGAAAGAAAATGAAAGATAACAAAAAACAAATGAACAACAGTTGCCTTATATAGGCTTTAACACAAGATACTCAGCTAACAAGCTACAAAACAATAAATGATTTGGGGCGCGAAATAGAATAAAAGCGCACCGATTTCTTCAATATTTTTCCAATTTTTATGCTGTCAGAGTTAAATAACTTTTAGTGGCTATTCGCTACAGATGTAACCAGATAAGCTAAGATAGATAAGCCTTAGGATGTGGCCAAATAAGATCAGCTATAAACCATTCGACGCAGAATTTCACGCTGATTCCGAATCTGCTTTCCCCTTTTGCTAAATGGTTTTCTCTAAAAAGTTATACGTTTTGCCAAAACGGGATCGAACTCGAGCAATACTGTGGCGCTCGTTTTGTATTCAAGTGTTTTGTCCACTATACCATCAGGTCGTTTGAGACCGGTGAGAGAAGCATTATAAAGGCTCCGGCTATTCGGCCTCGACTATTTGGCTCCAAATTTTCGCTTTTTTACCCTAAGATTTAACTATAACTTTTTATAGAAAGGCATTTTGCAAAAAAGAAAAACAGATTCGGAATCAGCGTGAAATTCTGCGTCGAATGGGATATGGCTTATTTCATTTAGCCACATCCTACTGTTGTCTTTCCCTTGTTAACTTTATAAACTATTATTAGTCTTGCTATAATACTGACCTTGAAGACAAGTCGATAGTTTTTTCCATCACTACCCACCACATCCAATAAAATCGGTCTGTGTACAGACACAATTGCGCACCATCTGGCACACCATCTATACACATAGGAAGCCCTGGAAGATTATGTCTAATTACCTACATCTATTTATCAGTCGCCGCGAGGGACTTTCCACCATAATCTCATTTGGCCACACCCTACTGTTGCCTTTCCCTTATCAATTCAACGAGTATTTTGATATCTAATCCTTTTATATTCAGTTGTCCAAACTATGCTAAAAATGGTTATTGCAATGAGGACACACCACTTGGGGATTGTGCCAGCAGTCCTACGTGTCCCTATCTGACAGCAAATCAAAAGAAATGGAGATGTGCAAGGACGTGTGGAATGTGCTTTGTGAGTGTTTTGTTTTACATAAATACCAGAGTTGTTTCAACTGGCTTCTAGGATCGTTAGCCAAGCCAGGCTAGGTCAGAGTCAGCTCAGAAGCCAGGTACAGACTAAACATGGGAAAATTCCAACTCAAACTTCATTCCATTTTTGTTTTCTTGGCCGATTCTTGGCCGATTGCTCTAAAATTTTGTCCACAGATAGAAATCGACATTTTCAGCTTGTAGACAAAATTTCAGAGCAATCGGCTAAGAAAAGATTGAGAAAACAGAGGCGGAATCAGGTTCGGGCTGGAATTTCCCCATGTCTAGTACAGATCGGAGATTTTTGCGGCTCAATTCTTTATTCAAGCTAAATTCGGATTTGGCCATGGCTTGGAAAAATCTTTGGCACAACTTTGGTTGAAAAATTTTCGGATAAAAACTTTACGGAATTAAATGCACAAACTAGCTAACTAGCTAGATAGATAGACAACAAAATCCCTGTAATATTGAACTTCGGAGTGTACAGATATGCCTTTCCCTTATTTTAACTTTAGGTGGCACCGGTGACAGTAAAATACTAATGGATTGATAATTTTAAAAAATGTTTCCGATTTTATGTTAAAATTTGTTGATTTATCTGTGCTAAATAAAGTATTTAAAGGCTGGCTCAAATAAAAAACATATACAATCAAATTTAAACAAAAAAAACATCTCAATTCTGTTTTCAATTCCAATAATTCAGTGATTTTGCAATTTTCTCCGTTTTTAACTAAGCTTTTAGGCATTTATTTTAAACTTGCATCCGAAAAAGTTTCCTTTTTTTGAGCCACCCTTTTTGAGTGAGCGGAAATGTGCGCATTTGTGTTTGGCTAAGTCCATGCTTGGACGGTTCTCCTCAAAAGCGGACATTCGCTTGAAATGAACTTGTTAGCTTGAACCCTAGAAAATCTAAGGAGGTAACTTTTGGACATTTGTCAACATCACACTTTCACAATTTTTTATCGCAATTTCTATGCTTGAACAGGAATTGGGCAAGAAAGCTGTGTTTTTTCGTTGGTGAAGGTGGACACAAGGTTTATTCTTCGACTAAATGTTTCAAACTCTTCGTTAAAACTCTTACAACCTCTTCAAACTTTCTAGTTTGCTTTCAATGTTATACTTTGGAACCTTATTGGAACTTTTTAGATCAAAATAGGAGCCGTATTGGAACCTTATTGGAACCGCATTGGAACCAAAGAGACTTTGAAGTCTTAGCCTTTTCTTTAATTGCTAATATCTCAGCGTAGAATTCTAATTTATTAATGAAATTTTAGACGCATTATTCTTAAAATCTTACGAGCTTAATGCCAAAATTATAAAGTTTTTTGGTGATTAGCGACCAAGTTATAGCAAAAAGACAGCGCGCGGGCAATTTTTTACCTCTAAGTGCTTGTAAGATTTTAAGAATCTATTTTGTGTAGAAAAAGGTCAAAAAAGGAGTACTTTGAGGCACTTAAAAATGCATGAAAATAAAAGTATAGTTTTACAACTTTTTCCTGAGGCGTTTTAGAGCATGATAATGTTCAGCAAAAAGATTCTCCGTATTCGATTTAGTGGGAATAAGCTTTTAGTTTGTGGAAATTCGTTGAAATTTAAGGGTTTTTGGGCATCTGAAAGTGCTCAAAAAGGATCAAAAAAGGGAAAAAACGGCAAAAATAGCCAAAAATCGTCGTTTTTGAGCGCTTTCAGTTGCCCGAAAACCCTTAAATTTCAACGAATTTCCACAAACTAAAAGCTTATTCCCACTAAACGAAACGGAGAATCTTTTGCTGAAATTATCTGCTCTAAAACGCCTCGGAAAAAGGTCTAACAACTATACTTTTTTCATGCATTGGTTAGGTGCCTCAAAGTCTTTTCGGAAAACTCGAAAACTTTTTAAGAGATGTATATTGAACTATATTTTACTTTACTTTTGAAAGTAAGTTAAAATAATGCACGAGAGAGAAGACACGAAATAATTCCCTCGGTTCTATTTAATTGTCCGCCACTGTATCTCTTTTTGAAAGTTTTTACAGCTATTTTAGTAAATTTTAGTTTTTACAGCCAAAAAATGGCTGTTTTTGTCGCTGGTGCTCCTCCAAAAAAAAACAGGTGTCGCTGGTGCTCCTCCGATTCAACTTGACACGACATTCCTGAAAAAAGCCTTCTAACAACATCGAAAAGATGATAAAACAAAGAAAAAAGGGGAAAAACGAAGGAAAATCGCGAAAAGCGGCGAAAAGGCTATTGATCTGAGGGTCGCTGGTTCGACTTCCACCGGTGACAATATTTTTCAAAAATTTTTTGCTAAGATTCTGAAAATGCGTGTCGAGGGGTTATTTTTGACGCTGATTACGAAACACATGTTTTTAGCCTAGGTTTCTGCACGGAAAACTAACTCAACCGGAAAACTACCATTTTTGGCTCTGCCGCCCTTTACTAAAGTAGCTGTAAAAACTTTTAAAAAGAGATATCTCAAAACGGTTTTTACCAATCGATCCGTCTTGAATTCAGCTTTAGGATGAGCTATAAAACGTCAAAATTCGACAAATTTAAGGTACTCTCCCAAAAAATCCGAAAGGACTTTTCCACCAACCCAATAGAATCAATCAATCAATACAATCTAATCTAATGAGAAATCTAGTCCCAATACTTTTAAATTCCAAGAATAAACAATAAATTCAGTGAAAGTACAAAAAATCGTTTTGATTTCATTCAGTGAATCTCGCCAGCCTTCAGCACAAAGAACGTTCATTTCCCATGTGCAAATTTGAGCCGATCTCTTTCCCATGACATTCCGCAAGTTTATCTGAAATCCGATCCCTGCAATTCCTGAATGCAAAGTGAAGATTGATGAAGTCAGAGAATTTCCCAAATTCCATCATAAATTGAAGAAAGTTCTCAGGATTTTTGGAAATCGAAAAGATTTTATTTCAGCCTCAAGCTAATTTTATCCTTCGGCCTTCAAATGTTTCTCCTCGTATTTCCCGTCAATTTACGCACATCCGTTCTCTTTTCCTTTCCCTTTTACTCTTTCAATATTTGCTTTGTAGAAAGTAATTAGTCTTTTGATTGTTGGTCGAGTTGCTGGTGTAGTAAAAGTAGTTGTAAGTTGTAGTTGTAAGTTGTAGTTGTAAGTTGTAGTTGTAAGTTGTAGTTGTAAGTTGTAGTTGTAAGTTGTAGTTGTAAGTTGTAGTTGTAAGTTGTAGTTGTAAGTTGTAGTTGTAAGTTGTAGTTGTAAGTTCAGAATCTGTTCTAACTTTTTCAAAGTTCATAATTTGGTTTTAGCAAAGCTAAAAATTCCATAGCTTACCGTAGTTTGAAAATCGAATCTTTTTACATAGATATATCGGTTTTAGTTCTGATTTAAACTTTCGAAATAATTTGGGCACAATTCGATAATTTTGGGAATAAACTTTCCCCAAAAGGACATTTCCCTTTGTGGCTAATTCAAATGATTTGTTGGCATTTTACATTGAAATGCCAAAACAATGGGCTGTTTAAGCCGTTTTTTGCTAATTTAAGTGTTTTTTTCGCCTTAATCGAGTGATTTGTTGCTAGTTTAAGTGTTTTGATTTCAACGAAAAGTTTTGCTTCAGTTCGAACCAAAGATCCCAATGCGACAATGATCTCTTGGCTAAAAGGAGAAATTTGACTTTGTCCAGAAAAAGACATATACCTTAAGGTGAAAGAACTTGGATCATCGTGATAGGCTCTGAACATGATCTCTTTCAACTCTTCATTCGTCTTTGGACATGTAATAGCTGTTGATAGGGTTTCAAAATTCTTTTTTGCACAAGGCAAACATTTGACTATTTATTATAAATCAATAGATTTATATAAACTATAAATATTAGGTTTTTCGGATATAAACAAGCGTTGCTAAACTTATTGTTGTGAGAGAAGTTTTTAAAACATGTCTCTCTGTATTTAAAAGTACGTTATCTTGTGCATATTTGGAATCTTTTTAAACGGATAATTTCTTATTTTTAAGATCTCTTTTCTTGCTTTAGACGACCGATCTCAAATATATCAAGTTCGCCTACTTTACGACTTCAAACTGGACAAAACAGTAGCGGAATCCCATTGAGATTTGGTCGAAGCATTTGGGAAAGATGTATTGTTCGAAAGCCGATGCCGAGCCTGGTTCTAACGCTTTCGGAATGATGATGAAAGTCTCGAGGATGATGAACACTCTCGTCGACCTCAAACGGTAGACAACGAGATTTTGAGGGCTGCAATCGAATCAGATCCATGTCAAACGACGCGTGAACTTGCTCAACAGTTCCTATGTTCAAATTCTACTATTGATGAGCATCTCCACGCCATTGGAAAGACGCTCTGATGCGGGAAATGGCTTCCTCACGGGTTAAGCAGTGCAAACGCTCGTTTATATCCGAACAACCTAATAGATTAATGAGTTGGTCAAAGGAAAATCCCTAACTGGAATCGGCAATAATTCATTTACTTTTGCAGAGATTTGCTTGAAAGATGAGGTCAAGACTTTGAAGTGATTTCTGTAAACAAAGGCAATCAATAACTTTTCATATTATAGGTATTGTTTTGAGTATTTTTGAAACTAAAATTGAGTTTACTAAAACGCAGAAAGTCGTTCGTTTTCCATATTTATTTTCTTGTTTTTATTGTATTTATTTTCTTGCCAAATTTTCCTCTCCAGATCTTGTTTGATTTACATTGATTATCAATTATCATATCAATCATATAAATCATAACTTGGCTATTGTATGCATTAAGAATTAAAAATCATAATTATCATTAGCTCATCAGAGAATTTTGATAGAATTTTTGCATAAAAAGTGGAAGAAAAGTTTCTCTACTCATTCAAGTGAACGACTGAACAAACGAGTTATGCAAAGTGTGTGGATCTTTTGTCCGTTTTCTCTTTTTTTTATGTGTGAATGGGTTGGAAAGTGGGTTGAACGGGGTTTAGAAGAAAAGAAAAGAGAAATGGAAAGAAGACTCCAGGAGAGAAGAAGAAAACTCCACAAAACACCCGTAACAATTCTCAAATCATCTATTCGAGTGATTGAGGTGAAAGGTTTTCACTAGAAAGATAGATTTGATGACTTTTTTTCAAATACTTTTCTTATTACTTGATTTTGGACTTCTATTTGGTTTAAGTAGTAAGCCAAATGCCTATTCTTTTCAAAAGTTTACTTACAATTATTAGCCTTGAAAGTCCGTGCACTTTTTCGTATCTTCCATAAATACGCTAATTGAATTAGACTTCTCTATATAAAACTATATTATCGAATTTAAAAAATGCTTAAGCAAATTTGGGTAACTTTTGAAACGAATTTGAGCAGAAATTCAAGTTTTTCTCAAAATTCTTCAAATTGAACTAACACAAAAATGATTGATTAGATCTAGCTGAGAATTTGGCTAGATGCCTAACTTTTTGTGCTCTATCTTTTTCTATTTACACCAAAATAGGTTTATGTGGAAGAAAGTGCTCAAATCCCTTCATCAAGTGGTCATCATTTTTGATTCCTCAACTTCTTTCCCCCTAGAAACCCACAAAACCGAAGCTTTTCTAAAT